CACATCTCATCCATGACACCTCCACACACCACCTCACACCACTACAACCGACACTCACACCATTCCCACCACATCTCACCACACATCACAGTATCATCTCCACGCACATGCATCACCACACCTCGGCCAGACCTACTCTCAACCACCCTCACCTCACCTCACCTCGCTTCACCTACATCCACCAACAGCCCTTCACTCTCCATCACCTCACGGCGAACACACCTCACGTCACCTCACCGAATATCATTTGATTTTAGCTGCATTATTTTTCTCCGCTTCGACTTTTTAAGGCGATCTTGTCAATAGTGGTGGTAATAGTAGATCTCACCCACTGGCGTGACCCACCTTCTGGTCAGGTTTGGCTTTCCATCAGCTGCTCATGAGATATAGTATTCCGATAGTGAGATAATTAACCCGCGTGTTAGCGTACGGTCGGCTACGGATCATTGGTCGCGTAATTTTTCAATTAACCGCCACGCGTCTTCGTCGCGACGCTTGACCTGCGACGCTTCGTCGCAAGTTCGATTCGGTTTAGACTGCCACCAGGTTGCGATGTTACTACTTCTCGTCGTGCTCGCAGTTGTCGCTTGTCGGGCGATTCGCCGGCTGACTCGCGCACAGACTTTTTCGGGGCATGCGGTAACGTTTTTTTCGTTTTCTTTGGGTGTGTGTTCTGGTTTGTTTAGTGGTTGGAGTCGCTGTGGGTCTCTTTTTCAACGTCGCCGTCTGGCGCCGGTATGCGTGCCGTGCGGGCGCACTAGCATAAAAACGTGCGCGTACGGCGCTTGCAGACGACGTCGCTCCGCGTTCGACGCGTCGCCGCGACCCAGCGTCTGCTCCTGACCGGTCCGACGTGACGACACACGCTCTGTTCGCCACGCCACTTGTCGCGTCGCACCGTACGCCTTCCGTTGGGCCGAGTTCGTGCGCCTCCGATCCGGAGGGGACGACTACGACGGACTCCCTTCATCGGTCCCCTGTGCATAACATTACTGTGCGAGCCGGTCCGCCGCGCGCGCCACTCGCCCACCCACGAAGTGCGACAGCAGCACGGCCCGTGTTCGTGCGGCCTGCCGGTACAGCGCTGCGCACGGAGTGCTTTCATTCAGTCCGTCGGTCGGCGGGCCACAGTCGCGCTCGCCCGACGCTCGAATGCGCCCATCTGTCGACACATTCAGTTGGAAGTCATGTGGTTATCCGTGCAACGAAGCGGGTGCCTTTACATGGAGAGCCTCGCGCTAGAGATGCAAGCTTGCGTGGCGAGGCACGGCGCCGGGAGGTGGAGAAGACCATCGTCATGAAGAACACATCCGACGAAGTGATAGCTTACTTCCTTAAGCATATCGACAAGTCAAAGGTAAGATTCTAACCAGGCGCGCATGGTGGCGCATGCAGCGCTAGCGGGTTATAATGCTTAATATATACATCGACATCTATAATCTACTAAATGGCGCAATAAACTATATTAAATATACAGATTAGTAAATCATTATATATATATATAGTATACATTGTGTAATTCATAGTATTATCAATTTTATATTAGCATATCTAATGCTTGTAAAATTGTATAACTATGTAATACACATGTATTAATGTATATATATATATTATATATATCTTATTTATTATTATTTATTATATTATACTCTATACATATTAATGCTAAAATTGATAGATGGGGAATAATAGGCGTAGATAAGGAGCGTGTGTCGTGAAACTATAGTGGGAGAATCGGCGGAATGAACGCTCGATTCGATAAAGTCTCACATTCCTTTCTCATTAATGGGAAATGTCCTTCTAATTACCTGCCAACTCGCGCCTTTTCTGTGTTTGAAATGCAATGGTGTGATTTATCAGTGTCACTTTATATATACTACATTATATTTAATATAATATATTTTATATTAATTATTAATGTATAATGATTCGTTTCGGTGCGTCACAGTATGAGATTTCGAGCGCTGCCCGGCAGAAATAATTTGTGATTAATCTTTATCGTGGCTTTTCAGTACAAAAATACTTTGGCAATGGTATCGGAAACCATGAATTTATGGGAATTGGTAGATTTCAAGTAGGAAATAGTCCAACTGCGATAGGAAATATACAGCGACATGTAGGAAAAAAGGTACAAACTGCGCTAGGAAATATGTACATTTTCGCGCACGTAAGAATAGTACAACTTGTCGCAAAATAGTACAATCTGCATAGGAAATAGTACACCCACTGTAGAAAATAGTACATGCTCCCACTTGTAGGGAAAATAGTACACTGCATTAGAAATAGTCAACCCAGCGTAGGGAAATAGTACAAGCTCTGCATAAATAGGTACACCCATCGTAGGAAATAATACCATCTTTGTGATAGAAATAGTACATCACTCACGTAAGAAATATAACAACTGCCATACGCGTAAATAGTAACACCGACGTTGGGAAATAGTACAACTGCATAGGAAAATAGTACAACTAGCATAGGACATAGATTAAACGCCCTATGGAATCTAGTACCACCACGTAGATTAAATAGTAGCATGAGCTGTTAAGGAACTATTAAACACTCCACGTAGGACAATAGTACAGACTGCATATTAGGAACATAGTCCACCCACTGTAAGAAATAGTAAATGCATAGGAAATAGTACAGTACCCACGTTACGAAATAGTACAACTGCATAGGAAATAGTATCACCAAGCCACGTAGAATAAGTACACCCACTGTAGAATAGTACAGCCACGTAGGAAATAGTACACACTGCGTAGGAAAAGCCGTAGGCCTTCGTAGAAAGCACGTACACTTATTAGAACAAATACACCACCACCTAGGAAATAGTAGGTCCTAATACTTCCATAAAAATCGAAAGCATCCACTTACAACATTCTGACGCTTCGCTTTAGACTTAGTAACTCAGACTTTCCGACTTCAAAGAATTACTGTACGTTAGTTGTGTAGCAGCGGTCACCCCAGATCGCTAGAGCAGCATATTATTAACTAGATCGCGTCTCTACCGGAAACATCGAGACCTTAACGCCGATCTGGTGGAGAGCGTCTTCATGATTGCCAGGCTGCGCCTTGCGGGTAGTGGCGCGTTAAGACAAATCGATAGGAAAGATATACCGCATTATGTTGTAATCTAATCGTGGATAAATGTCGGATAGCACGTAGTCGTGACGCTATATAATTTGGTAATATTTATGTGAAAAAATATCGTTTATTACGCCAATTATACATAATTGTAAAGTGCCTCATATTAGGATTTTTGCATCTATACTGTAAGCATTTGGCCGCGTCTGTGTTCCACATGCCAGAATTATATCTATTAGAATTATATTTTGTTGAAATTGGCATATTTAAAGAGAAAGGTACATAGAGTAGTTTTGTAAGTTAAATTATAATCTTATGCGCGGGTCTAGTTTTAGAAATAACGGAGGTTCCTATACTTACAAATCAAAAGATTCACGCCATATTCAGTATTTACCACCAAAATACCAGTTTGTTAAACATACATTAAAAGTTAGAGAGCACATGTTACGAGCCGTAGGTTAATGTGAAAAATATCCTCAATTTTTTTTACTCCGATTGATGCTATGTTCATGCATCAGCCGCCCGCGCAAATATTGTCACGGCGTCAACTTTTCGTATTTCCCTATACTGAACACATAAAGCAAACTACTACAACTACGTCGATCATGTGGCATTGATGCTTCCTTGACATGTCAGGAACAACAATATCACTCACAACTTCCACGTCGCTCATAGTGATCATAATGATAGTCAAATGAGAAGCATCCGTGTCGAATACTGAGTATCTGCCAACCGAAATATTGATCGGTTGAGGTTATATACATTTAAAATAAAGAGGGAAGCTTCATTCGTAGTTCGATAAATGTCTATCTCAACATTTTAGCCTTAATTATAAGGCGCCAGATCTTCATGAGTTTCGCCTTACAGTAGGATAGGTAGGAGCAGAAAACTGCCAACTAATGTTGAAACTTACTGGTCCTTGCTTTTTGATAAAGCAACATGGTTTTCCATCGCAATGCGTGTGCACGTATATGCATGCGTGCATGTGCATGCGCGCGGGTGCGTTCGTGTGGGTGCGTGTGTGTGTGTGTGTGTGTGTGTGTGTGTGTGTGTGCGTGTGTGTGCGTGTGTGTGTGCACGCGCGCGTTTTAAAAATAAATACAACCCTATCATCTTTAAACGGCATTATTTCTATCATCATCATTTATATCAGCGAACGCGCTCTCCCCCAGTATTGTGTCCGCGCGAGATAGTGGAGATTATCACATCGCACAAATCAGCGCAAATTAAAGTCTCAAATACGATTTATTCTTCCTACAACGCAATTCTCTCTAAATCCCTTCCTCCAATTTCCTACCTTTTTAGCATGTAAGTATAACATAATATCAGCAGTGAATAATAGTAGACTCAGTATTATTATTATTATTATTATTATTAGTATTATTATTATTATTATTATTATTATTATTATTATAGAATTATTATTCACTCCTGATAATATCAGATTATATAATCTATATTACACACGCCTGATATTATGTATAATATTTTTATTCATGCTCGCCGCATTCTCGCTCGCCGCTATAAACAGGCGCCAAATGCACCGCGAGAGGGCGCTGGCGGTAGCATGTGGATGCATTCTGCCGCTGCTGTTGTCGCTGCTGCTGCTGCTGCTGCTGTCGCTGTTGCTGCTACTACGCATTAGCATCGACTAGTCGTCAGGCGGTAATAGTGATGTATGGCAATGCGCGCGCGCACGCTGGTCGAGGTGGCGATGTCGCGCGCAGCCACACGCGCGCATACACGCGTGCGCCGGCTAGCTAACCCCGGTCGTCTGCTCGCACGTGCCATCACGCAGGTCGCTGCGTAGCTGCGTCACGCCGATGACGCAATGACGACGTCGCGGAAGACGTCGGCGGTGCCGACCGCCGTACGCACCTGTCGCCGACGTCGCCGACGATGCCATCCGGTCTGCGATGAACCTTAGTGCCTGCTGCTGCTGTGTCATCGTCATCGTCTACGTCGTCGCGTCGCTGCCGACCGCCGACGGCTATCACGTGGTCGTGCTCGCGCCCGTCTCGTGCGTCGTAGTCGGTGACGCGCGCGCCGTGTCGGCGACGGTCAATAGAGCTCTCGGCGACGCTCCCGCGAACAACGTCACGCACGTCGTCGTCGACGTTTGCTCGCCGACCGACGGTCTCGCGGAGTTTGTCGGCATGTACGCGGCGTCGGCGACCGTCGTTGACGCGTTCGTCGGGCCGCCGACGTCGGCGCTGTGTGAGCCGGCGGCGCGTCTCAGCTCGTACTGGGGCGTGCCGATGGTGTCGTGGGGCTGCGGCGACGACGAGCTGTCGGCGAAGCACAAATACCCGACGTTCGCGCGCGCGACGCCGACGAGCGGAAACGTCGGCCGCGCGCTGGCGCACACGCTGCGACACTTCGGCTGGAGGTACTCGCTGATCGTCGCCGATGCGGCGAGGTCAAAGGTCGCGCGCGAAATTGCCGAGGAGATGCGGCGCTGGCGGCTGGACGTCGACGTGCGGACCGTGTCCGAGCGTAGCGCGACGGTGCGGCCATCTGTCGGTGAGATGGGAAAACTTAACCCGAGAATCAAAGGTGAGATAAGGAGTGATCGTATCAGTGGTCGTGGCAGTGGTAGCACCATCATCATCACCATCAGTAGCAGCAAAAGCAGCAGTAGCAGCAACAGCAGCAGTAGCAGCAACAGCAGCAACAACAACAGCGGAGACAGAAGCACTAGCAGAACCAGTAGCAGTATATAGCAGCAGCACCAGCAGTAGTATCAGTAGTAGTAGCAGTAGTAGTAGTAGTATTAATATTAGTAGTAGTACTAGTAGTAGTATTAATATTAGTAGTAGTACTAGTAGTAATTCCAGCGGCAGCAGCAGCAGTAGCAGCAGCAGCCGCAGCAGCAACAACAGCAGCAGCAAACTCCACACATTTATGAAAAGGGCGTTTCATTATGCGTTCAGTACAATGTAAGTAAACGCACGATGGGAAACAAAAGGGTTTCTTACCGCAATTTTTAATCCGCCCTTTGTTCGGACAAAGTTGTTTTTGCATCTGCGTGTTTCGTGACACGAATGCATTAATTTTCAATCGATCGCATTTATATTTTTGTGTACAGTGAGTGCAGAGGTGCAGTGTTAGCAATTTGATCCGTTACACTATGATATTATGAAAACGCGTACCTTGTAATTCTTTTGAGCAACGCGCGTTTAAATAAACATTCTTCACGTAAGATTTTTTAGTAAACGCGAGCAACTATTATTTTAATGCATAACTTCGACTCGAGGATGTTTTTTTCGGAGTCTATTTCAGTCCACGCTGAGTATTCCCACGTAAAACTATAATGCAATTGAACTTGCGGAGATGGTGTAGTTTCAGAAAGCATTTTTAGGTGCAGCTTGCACGAAAAGAGCTTATGTGCTTTATGGTAGAGCTAGATGCGTGCAATGTAGTATATATATTATTATTATATCTAATAATATAGTAATTGTGTGTGCGTGCTTGAGTGTGTGTGTG